AGCACTGCAAGGAGTAACTCCTGAGTGCAGAGCCAGGAGTAAACCCTGTGCATTGCCAGGTGTGACCCAAAAAGAAAAAAAAAAATCAGAAACTTTTACATGTAGGTATGCAATAATATTTGGGACACTGCCCAGACTAAAATAAAAATCAATTAAGGCTTATGTTAAACAAGGCCTTTTATGAAGAAAGCTTCACTTAGTTGATGAGAGAAAAAATTGGGCTGATTTTCCATGTAAACTCCCTGAGTGTATTTCTAAGTGTCTTGATAATAAGCAAATAATAAGCAAATTTATGAGAGATTTTTTGTAGCCTATTCATCCATTGTTGTTATGGTATACACTACTCTTTATAAATATTAATGCTCAGATGAAAAAGAATCTGTCTATATCTAGAATAGTTATCTAAATTTTGAAATGATTAAATGTGTGGATAAAAAACTAATTAAACAATGAGACATTTCCTCAATTAAAGCCCATAAAAATTTAAATGATAGAGTTCTTTGAATTTTTTAATTATTTTGACAAACAGATATTAACATAAGATCAAAGTTATATTGCTCTGGTAAAAATTACATCTTGGGGACAGGTTAGCATCAAGATTTAAAGACTCCTATCATTTTTATGAGTTTCTTTGAAGGCAGTCAGGACCACTGCAGGGACTGTAATGTTGAATACAGTTATATTATTTAGAATCCTACTGTAATAGATCATTAAAATAACTTGCATTCTGTTAACCTACAATAAAAAAGAAGAGCAATAAAATAGACTGAAATTAGTTTGAAGCAGTGGGGTAAAAAATATATGCTCCTTTACCTGGGGAAGACTGTCGTAGGTATGTCTACTTATTCTGCTATTAATATTGCAATATATGTGATTCTGCATGTGAACCAAATATTATTTGTTTCATTTCTTTTTCATATGTACTTATCATGGAACAAAGATATACTGTCACTGTCACTGTCCTCCCGTTGTTCATCGATTTCCTCGAGCGGGACCAGTAACATCTCCATTGTGACAATTGTTACTGTGTTTGGCATACAGAATATGTCACAGATAGTTGCCAGGCCATGCCGTTTGGGCGAGATACTCTCGGTACCTTGCCAGGCTCTCTGAGAGGGGCGGAGGAATCGAACTCGGGTCGACCATTTTGGCCACTTGCAAGGCAAATGCCCTACCCGTGGTGCTATTGTTCCAGCCCAACAAAGATATAATGATTCTATTATAAAGAAGTTAACTATTGCTAAGAATTAAAAAATGAGATTTTATTAGGTGTGAAACATCACCTAAGGCTGTAAATCATCTCCCAGAAATAGCATTAGTGTGTTTTCAGTTAAATAAGATTAGTTGCATCACAGTAAGAGGAAACATAACTTTTCATTGTATTTGAAAATCCAGAATAGTTAAAGATGTGCAAAAGTGCCAATTTAACAAGGAGTAAACCTAGAATACCAATTTTATATGTCAACTTGCTAGACTGTTTTATCCATCTATATGTTAAAGCATCATTCTAAATGTTTCTATGAAATTATTTCAGATAATTCTATGAAATTATTTCAGATAATTATTTCAGAAATTATTTCCTTAAACTAATATATTTATTTTTGATTTGGGGCTCCACCTGGCTATTCTCGGGGCTTCCTCCTCTCTGTACCCTCAGGGATCATGCCTGACTATACTCAGGGGACTATATATGGTGTCAACAATCAAAACCAAATGTACTACAGGCAGTACAAGAGCCTTCACCTGCTATACTATCATCCTCCAGACCTACTTGAACTATTTTCATCTGCAGATTTAAAGTCCCCAAGAAAGATAAGACTTCTGTCTGTAGAACAATCTGTAGATCAAGTCTTTCCTGGGTTCTCAGCCTATTGTACTTTGTAGTTTTTGGACTTGACAGTCTCCACCAACTGGGATCAATTTATGACTATCAATACACAAACACACACACACACACACACACACACACACACACAAATACACACACAATTTGCTCTGTTTCTTTCAAGAACCTAATACATTGTGCTATTAAGCGTTAATGAGTGTGAATCTAGATTACTTAGGTTCTATCCCAACTTTACTACACACTAGTAGATCTAAAGATCTAGGAAAATTATGTCCCTTCATTACACCATTATTTCCTCATCTATTTTACCTGCGTTTAGAAGGTAAGAGTGATCAGCCTTATCTCATAGAGCTGTTCTTTTTTTTTGAGGAGTGAGGCAAAAAATATTTACAAAAATACTATATAACTTGGCCATATTTTTGACGAAATTGAAAGGTAGTTTGGAAATCTATTTTCACAGCAGTTAAGATCTTATAAGACATTACATCTTGTCCACCTTCATTTCCTCTACTTCTCTTTCCAATGCTTGGTAATCTGTTTTATAATACAAGGCCAAGGGCAATGATTATTTCACAATATCTATTTTCATGTTTTGTTTTTCTGTATCTGGCAGATGAGTGAGATGGCACTTTCATGGTGACATGCAATAACATCAATACCATGTACTTAACACGACTGTAACCAATTTACCTAAAGGATAATAAAAATAAAGTACTTTGGGGTATGGTGCTGCCAGCAGGTCAATCTGTACCTGTGAGATGAGTGCATTAGCAGCCTGATAGTGCCTTCAGACTTCTAGACACCCCAAAATTGCTCCTGTGCCTTTGGCCAGACCCCAACAACCAAGAAAGTAAATGGCCAAAAGTTAGGTATGTGAGAGACACACCACAAACCACCTCTGGCTAAGTTATATAATTGGAATCAAGACCTCTCTGGTTCCTGATCAAACTGCTTAAGGGCCATGATGCCAGAGACTGAGAAACAAATCTCGGAACCCAGCGGCTACTGACAGAAATATAGTGACGAGATACACGGGGCCTCACGAGATGAGGGTGGAGCTGGCCCTCTCCTCCCCGCCACAATAAGACCCCGAGTCGCTGTCCACAAACGGCCTCTCTGGCTCCTGATCAAGCTGCGTAGTGTTCATAATCCCAGAGACACAGGAACAAATCTCAGAACACAGCGGCTTTTGGCAGAAATCCCTCCAGATTTAATTGTTAAAATTTTGGAATTTCAAAATCGTGCAGCCACTATTATGGCCGTGTGACATCATAATCAGCAATAGAAAACAAATTGTCTATGGTTGCCTTTTCAGCAGATTTGAGTTTTGGGGTAAAATCCCAAATAATAATGGTGGGTGTGGTGTCAAAATATTGAATGTGATCAAAGTAGAGAGAGTAATATGGAAATCATCTGCCCCAGAGGTAGGGGGAGGGTGTGGGATGGGGGTATACTTGGGTTTTTGGTGGTGGAAAAAGGGCACTGGTGAAGGGACAGGTGTCTCATCATTGTAGGACCGAGACTTAAACCCGAAATCTAGATTCAATAAATAAATTTATAACAATTTTTAAAAAGTAAGGTGGAGTTCGTGCTCAATTCAATCAGCCTAATCAATGGCTGAATAAATAGCAATACTCCTACATTAAAATTAAAAACAAATAAATAAAGTACTTGATATCCTCCCAAGATTAAAGGCCTAATACATGTCAAAATACACTATAAAATTTTAAGTTAAGGAAAAATGCACAAACAACATTATCAATGTTAATTCGCATAGTGATATAATGTTTCTTGTTTTATATTAAATAACATACAAACTAACTAGAATTAACTTCACAGCATCTTATTGAAATAAAAAAGGCAAAAGCACAGTTTTCAAATAATTGCTCAGAACATTTTGACACAGATTACTGTTGTGAGCAACTGCCCTACAGTGCTAATTCTGACAGCAGTGCTAATTCAGACAACTACATGGCACTGGTAGTCCTTGAACTTTCCTGACCCAAACTGTGACAACCAAAAAAATCCTCAGGACAGCACCAAATGTTCCTTGAGGGGGAAAATTACCACAAGTAAATATCCATTGCTGTAATATATATGCATACATAATATATGCACATATAAACTCAAAAAAATTGCTCCCATTAATGACTTGTTAAGCTGATAGGTGACAGGGATAGGACATTAGTTACCACCTAACAAGCCTACTGTGAGGTTCAGATGCCAACTCTCTTATACAATAGACATTTCTGAACACTTTGTAACTACTTACTAAATCATCACTTCAGGCTTTTTCCTTCTCACAAGAGGAAAATATGTCACTATAAATCTAAAACTAAAAACATACACCATGAAAATTCATCTAGACATAAAACACATCTGAACAAGGGATATCTCAGTCTTTTTTTTAAACTAGTTTCTACTTTACTTTGCTTAAGATCACCTTAGGTGGTTAATATGCTCTTCAGTTCCTCAGGATCTATTTAACATATAAACAACATATAAATCAGTAAAAATGTTCTCTTTTTATATGAATGTTAAAGTAGAAAACCTAGACAATAATTAAGAGTTAAAGAGAGAATTAGAGACACTTTGATTATCTGAGCAAATATACTTCCATTAGTGAGTGCTGAGCTTTTGATTTAATAGTAGCACTGTCCTCCCGTTGTTCATCAATTTGCTCGAGCGGGCACCAGTAACAGCTCACAAAAAAATTGAGAGACTTGCTGTTACTGTGTTTGACATATCAAATACATCATGGGTAGCTTGCCAGGCTCTCCGAGAGGGGTGGAGGAATCGAACTCAGGTCAGCCATGTTGGCAGCATGCAAATCAAATGCCCTACCCGCTGTGCTATCACTCCAGCCCCGAATTAATAGTATGAAGTCTTAATTTAGCTTGTAGCATTTATATTCAAATTAACCTTTTGCCACCTGGAAAAATTATGAATTTTTCATATTACTACTCTAAACAAAAACACTTCAAATAATTAGTGAAGCACTGTGTCTGAGTGTATGCCACATCTTTTGAAACTATCTCAACAATACAAGAACAAAATGATGTTTATCCCATAGAGCACATTGCTATCTGTATGCAGGCTGATAAGATAAAAAGGGAATAGTAGACTGTGAGAGGATCAGGGTTATGAGCCATACCTTCCATGACATACACCAGTGACCCCACATCTCCTTCTTTGATGATGCAACTGTCTTTGCCATACTCCACTGGGTACATACAATCCACAATCTCCTGTATTTGCGACAGCTCCAAGTTCTTCATGAAGTCATTATCAAGGATGGCTTCCTTTATGAGATCCTTGGATCTATGGCAAGAGAAGGAAGATTAATTGGCACACCTGACAAGTGCTTTCATACTCTGTGAGGTGTAGCAGAGCTGCACAGTGTTCTGGCAGACCACAAATGCATGTACTTGTTAGAAATCCATTAATTTTCTGAAAGACAAGCTGTAGAAACAGAAAAGGCAATAAGAAAAAATTGTAAGTATTATTTAATGGGCATAACCAACAAACAAGAAAGTTCACATGATTCCACTGTATAAATAAGAAAAGTTTAACCATGAAGATTGTGAGAAAACCAATGGGTATTTTAATTAAGGCTTATAAATAGTCTATAAATAAATCACGATCACGATCACGACCACCCTGTTGTTCGTCGATTGCCTCGAGCAGGTGCCAGTAACGTCTTCTTCGTCCTAGCCCTGAGATTTTTTTTTTTTAAAGTGCCATATTCAAGGCTTTTTCAGGGTTAGGAGAATGAGACCCATCATTGTTACTGGTATTTGGCATATTGGGTATACCACGGGGAGTTTGCCAGACTCTGCAGTGTGGGCAGGTTACATTTGGTAGCCTGCCAGTTTGTCCAAAGTAGGAATGAGATGATAAGATGTCGCGCGGCCGCGAATGTGGCTGCGCACTTCCGGGAGCTGAATGTGATAATCTCTGGATCCTGACCGTTGTTGGAGTTACACGGCAGTTGGTGGGTGTAACTGTCTAGTTACTAGCAGGTCCAGTCCCAAACCATGCAGGCTTGGAGATCTCAGCCCCGGGTCCCACACACCTGGGTTCCTCTGCCAGTTCTTTTATGTGTGAGGTTCATCCAAGTGTGTGGATGAAAAATAAATAAATATAATTATTTATTATAAATAAATATGCAAATTAAAAGAAAATTTTATAAAACATACACTGCTATATATTACAAAAGAACATCAGTATATGTAGAACCATAAACATATACAGTAGTAGTATAGCACTGTTTTCCCATTGTTCATTGATTTGCTTGAGTAGACACCAGTAACGTCTCCATTGTGAGACATTGTTACTGTTTTCAGCATATTGAATGCGCCACGGGGAGCTTGCCAAGCTCTGCTGTGCGGGAGGGATACTCTTGATAGCTTGCTGGGCTCTCCGAGAGGGAAGGAGGAATTGAACCCGGGTCGGCTACATATACAGTACAACTAACTGTTTTATTTTTGTGCCTTATTCACTATGGCAGAAATCATTTAACATTTTTCTCTATTGTGTAAATAGTGTCTGTACCATGCAGTTTTGTGCGATTGTTCAAGAAATATTCTGGACTTAGGCTTCTTCAGAGAACATTTATTTCTCCAAGTAGCTGAAAGGGATTAGGCAGATAAAACTCTGTTGAACAAAAGATCTTAAACACGATGTGATTCATAGATAGGATTAAGTAGGTCGTCAATGGGAAAGATCATGATAATCCTTATAACTGGAAGTAATTCAATAACAGCAAAATTTTCAGGACTTAAAAGTTTGTGATAATTTATTCGCTAGGGTAACAAGCTACAATTCACCTTTTAAAAATACAAAAATTAAAGTGAAGAGAAATTCAAGAACACCTAGTCCAGAGAAGCACAGAACACACTCAGAGAAGCCTGAACCTGGAGAAGACAGAAGCAAAATCCTTAGCAACATAGAGAACACAGGACATTTTTGAAATTTGATATTAAAAGTCTCCATTTAAAAAACACTCAATGACAAGTTGGTCTTTGCCCACATCTGCTTATCAAATGCTTTCAGAGAAATGACCTGCCATAATTTAAAATGACCTGCATACTGACTAGAGCATTAGCCCTCACCATTTCTGGATGGCATATCATTTAGACCTCAGTATAAGTGAACTAGCGTATACATGTCATGATTTGTAATGATTTACTTTTAAATGATGAAGAGGTTTATGTAAGAAATAAATATATTAAACTCTGGGACCCGGGGCCGCCCACCATCCCTGAGCCTCTTCCCGTTTGTCCCCAACGACCAGGTAGTACCCCCCATATATACCAGGTACCGGTAGGGGGCATGGCCTCTGCAGAAGTGGGTGTGGTCTAATTTTGGGCCACAGATAAATTACTCATACCCAGCAATCTTGTGTAGCATTTCAGTCTCCATACCACCACACAAACATGAAGAAACAACACAAATCCCCACCATGAGAAGAGGGCAATGAAAAGAGTATAGAAGCTTCATTAGTTGTTACTCACTTAAGGGAGCTCTCTGAGAAAGAATTCAGATATGAAGTTATGAAGATGTTCAATGAATTCAATGAAACAATGAGGCAGATACCCAGTGAATTAAAGGAGGACATGAAAGAAAAATTGAGAAAATACAGGAAGAAAGGAGAGCAGAAATTGGAAAGCTATGCAAAGAAATGTCACATATAAAAGATTCCATAGATGAAATAAAAAACTCAGTCTGTGCCCTCAACAGTAGAATGGCAACAGCTGAAGACAGAATGAATGAGCTGGAAGATCAGCTGCACGAAGCCTACAGGCAACAATAAACAATGGCAAGAGACCTCAAAATAACTCTAGAGTAAAACAGAGTCCTAGGGGGTGATTCCAAGAGGAACAACATTAGAATCATTGGAGCACCAGAAAGTCAGGAAAACAGTTCCAATGAAAAAGCCACGGTCAAACAAATCATTGCTGAAAAGTTTCCAGAGTTGGACAATGCAGGCATCCAGATTCAAGGAGCCTGAAGGGTGCCAGCTAAAAGACACCCTAACAAAAACACTCTGAGACATATCTTAGTTAGAATGATGTATGCCACTGATAGAGACACAATACTGCAAGCAGTAAGGTCAAAGAAGGAAATCACATACCAAGGAGCACCCCTTAAATTCACAGCAGACATATGAGAGGAAACCCTCCAAGCCCGAAGGCAATGGTAGGATATAGTGAAAAAACTCACTGAAATGAACACCTCAACAAGAATACATACCCAGCTAAACTCTCACTCAAACTTGAAGGAACGGTACACTGTTTTCTGGATAAACAACAGCTCAGGAACTTTATAGACTCAAAACCAAACCTAAAAGAAGGACTATAGGGGCTACTGTAAGACTAGACAAACCCCTACAAGCACAACAAACCCTAACAGAAAGATGACACAACATCAATGGTCTAAATTCACCAACTAAGAGACACAAAGTGGCAAATGGATTCAAAGACAGAACCCAATATTGTGCTGTCTACAAGAAACACATATGAACAATCACAACAAACAGACTCAAAGTCAAAGGATAGAAAACAACCCTGCAGGCAAACAACCCCCTCAAAAAGCTGGAGTGGCCTTACTAATATCAGACAACATAGATTTCAGGTTGAAAAAGATTAGAAGGAGCAGTGAAGGTCATTTTTTATTATTCAAGTGTTATGTACAGCAGGAAGAAATCACACTACTAAATGTATACGCACCCAATGAGGGACCAGCCAAATACCTTCAATGCTAACAGACCTTAAGAAGGACATTACAAGCAACACAATAGTAGTTAGAGACTTCAGCACTGCCTTATCACCCCTGGATAGATCAATCAGATTAAAATTCATCAAGGAAATAATGAACCTGAAGGAAGAAATAGAAGACAGAGGGCTAAAAGATCTATACAGGACTTTATAACCCCCCCCCCCCCAAAAATACACATTCTTTTCCAGTGCACATGGAATATGCGTCCGGACCACGCAGTAGGTTACTGTCGCCAGGTCACCCCGGGGGGAAAGGGTGTTGTCCCTCCGCCTGCTCCCCCTTGGCGGCTCAGTGGCCGTCATCCTCCAGAGGCCACTGGACAGTCAGGTCTGGGCCCGCAGTGACAAGACACACAGGGCCTCATGGGATGGGGGTGGAGCTGGGCCTGTCCTCCCCACCCCAACGAGAACCCAAGTCATCACCCACGAATGGCTTCTCTGGCTTCTGATCAAGCTGCTTAACGGCTATGATCCCAGAGACACAGAAACAAATCTTGAAACCCAGTGACTATTGGCAGAAATGCGTCCACACCACACAGTAGGTTACTGTCGCTGGGCCACCCCAGGGAGGAAAGGGTGTTGTCCCTCCGCCTGCTTCCCCCTGGTGGCTTGGTGGCCATCATCCTCCAGAGGCCATTGGACAGTCAGGTATGCGCCCACAGTGATGAAACTTGTTGGACCTCACAGGATGGGGGTGGAGCCGGTCCTGGTCTCCCCATCCCAACGAGACCCCAAGTCATCACCCACGAACGACCTTTCTGGCTCCTGATCAAGCTGCTCAACGGCCATGATCCCAGAGACTCAGGAGCAAATCTCGAAACCCGGTGGCTTTTGACAGAAATCCCTCCAGATTTAAGTGTTAAAATTTTGGAATTTCAAAATCACATGGTCCTACTGCAGCCACGCAACATCATATGTTATTCATAACCAGCAATAGAACACAAATTGTCTACTGTTGCCTTTTCAGCAGATCTGAGTGTTGGGGTAAAATCTCAAATAATAATGGTGGGTCTGGTGTCGAAATATTGAATGTGATCAAAGTAGAGAGAGAGTAATGTGGAAATCATCTGCCCCACAGGTAGGGGGAGGGTGTGGGATAGGGTTATACTGGGGTTTTTGGTGGTGGAGAATGGGCACTGGTGAAGGTACGGGTGTTTCATTGTATGACCGAGACTTAGACCCGAAAGCTTTGTAACTGCTCTCACGGTGATTCAATAAATAAAATTATAAAAAATTTAAAAAAAGTAAGGTGGAGTTCATGCACAATTCAATCAGCTAATCAGTGGCTGAATAAATAGCAGTATTCCTACATAAAAAAAAAAGAATGGATTCACTCAGTAATTTCAAAAAGGGCTGTGTCTCGTACAGACCTACAGCTCCATAATGTAAGGAGTATTTTACAGGCTGGAGTAAAAAGGCTCACTGGGTACCTCAAGATTTTCATGTAGTCACTAAGATGTGCTTAAGCCCTTCTCAGTACATGCAGTGGAGGTTGTGGTTCAGTGATGAGGCCAAGGCAAAACTTCAGAGCCTAGGCAATGC